AAGAGTGTTGTTAAAATTTGGAAATGCAACAATAAAACCTCCCAGTTTTCACTGTTTGGATAAATTTGACTAGCCGTTTTTCTGTTGCTCGTCCAGCCCAGTGCCCAGCCAATGAGGAGCGAACTTCGTCATCAGGAGTCATACTAAGTCCCGGGTTTCCTAGCAACTACCCCAACAGTCAGACGTGCTCCTGGCTTCTACGTATGCTTCCAGGTACAGTGTGCGTAGAGGCGACAAACAAAACATGTCTGGACTTCTCTTTGTATGTTATGTAAGAGGGAAGCAAATAATCATTTATGTACATTTACATTTGTGTTTGTTTGTATGCTGTACAGATTGAGAAACTGTGTCTACCATAGACTGTGTGTAAAGTGACTCCACATAGTATGTGTTCGTATGTGAAATGCAGAGTGTGTAGTCAAAGTGATTCTTGAAAGGCTGTGGTCATTTCTTGTGCATCCTTGTATTTGTGTGTATGTTATACACTTTGCATAGCAAATAGCAGCTGTTTGGTTGTGGTTGTAAATGATTTTGTGTTGTTTCCCAGGTTACACCATCAGTATCTACGTTGAGATGTTCCACAGTGAGAAACAGTTTGATGAACTGGAGATCTTTGATGGTATATAACGTTTTTGTTATATTTTTGCTATACCTGCACCCAGACACAGTTATGTGAACACAATCACATGCAGCTTTAATTTATGTGGGTCTATGGAAAGTACAACAGTTAATAAGATGCACTACACTTAATTCCCCATAGGAGTTGTTTAACAGTAAATCTTTACTAAACAGTAAAGGGCAGATTGTGTGTGTGTGGCATCCTTACAAAAAGCAAGTCACCAAAACATAAATAATTTCATTTTAGAGAAACGACTTGGTTTAAGAATAGGGTAAGGATTAAGTGTTAGGATAAGGCATGGGGACGGGGGATTATGTGAATGAGTATCCTTATAATTGTTCTTTTTCCTATTATTTTATGTATATTCATTTGCATTGTATATATAAATCTGTAGGGATGACATGTTTTTATAGGCCAGCCTGGAAGTTAGCATCACCCTGGTTCCCTCGACTAAAAACATATGGGATTTTCCACAGGCTTTTGGGTTATTACAGAAAATGATGACTTCAGCATCACCACAAGTTTCCTGCTTGTAATTTGATTCATAGTTGCTTACTGCTTCTGCAAAATCCTATCCTCTTAGTGTAACCTGATCTAGCTGGTGATCATGACTGTGTCAGTTAGTTAGAATACTTTACAAGTGTGTGAGTTTAAAAAAAATCAAAGGCTTTAAAGGTGGACTTGTGAGTGGATGTGTTGGTGATGACGCACTGTATTAAGAACTTACAGTTTATTCCATTTGTAAATGTTTGTATCAGCTATTTGGAGGAAATTTTTTAATCTTGTAAGAATATTGGAAATTGTGAATTTACTCATACACTCAGATAAAAGAAGTAATATTTATCTAATCTTCTTATCGAATCCCTGTCATGACCTACCTTACCCCCAAGACAGACCCCTAAGCAAAATTACATACCCTATACATACAAACATAGACACAACACTTCAGAAGTGTCATTCCTCTGTTTTTCCAGGCCCCTCGGGACAAAGCCCTTTGCTTGTTGCTCTAAGTGGAAACCACTCATCTCAGTTGAACTTCACATCTAAAACAAACCAGCTCTATCTACGATGGTCCACTGACCATGCAACCAACAAGAGAGGATTCAAGATACGATACTCAGGTACATTGTTTTTTCCCTGTTACTCTGTCTATAACCAGCCAGTGACCATGTTGCCATTAGTAGAATAAAACCAGTTTTTGAGGAAATGAGTGTCCTACCATGTGAAAAAAAAACTATCAGCCATCTCCTCTGCTTTATCTCAGCCTTTCACACATATATTTGTAAAGCGGTAAATGGATTTGTACTTGTATGCTGCTTTATTATTTCCCCATTCATCCATTCAATCACACAGGCATTGACACATTCACACACCAGTGACATCACCAGGAGCAACATGGGGTTTGGTGTCTTGCCCAAGGACACTTTGACATGTGGACTGGAGAAGCTGGGGATCAATCTGCACAGCATGAATGAAAATGAATTTATGCATCAAGGGTGAAAGTACCCGAGCTGGTATCGTTTAAAATTTTTTAATGTATCAGACAAAATAGCGTAAAGGGAATTAGTAAGTCCAGTTTGTTAATTTAACTGTTTGTTTCAGGTCAAGTGTACTGTCTCTGCAGGTTTTTGCCAGAGCTGTGGTGTTTTGTTCAGGTTGTGAGGTTTTCACCTCCCCCTTGATCATTAGTTTTAACGTGTGAAGGATTTGTTGACGCTCACGACCAATCTCAGTCATAGAAAATACAATTTACAGTGGCACTGATCTTCTTTGGGCTTGAGAGGAGTAGGCCCCATGGTCAGTCTTCTGACTCTCTATAGTGAAAGAAATGTGTGATATATTTTAGTTTCTGGGCTATATCAGCACAATGGCCTGAAGTAATAGTATTCTGTTTTCCCTGTAGTGTCGCATTGCCCTGACATTGGCAGCTATACAGAGATGAAATTTATAGTAGCGATGTTTCACTCAGTGGCACAGCGGCACTGTGGTTAGCACTGTCACCTTACAGCAAGAAGGTTCAAGCTTGGGCCAGCCCGGGGCCTTTCTATGTGGAGTCTGCATGTTCTCCCTTTGCCTGCATGGGTTCTCTCCAGGTACTCCGGCTTCCTCCCACAGTCCAAAGACATGCAGCTTAGGTTGATTGGCCACTCTAAATTTCCCATAGGTGTGATGTGAGTGTGTGTGGTTGTTTGTCTACATGTCAGCCCTGTGACAGACTCGTGACCTGTACAGGGTGGACCTCGTCTCTCCCCCAATGTCAACCGGGATTGGCTCCAGTCCCCCCGTGACCCTGTTAAGCGGTATAGATATTGGATGGATGGATGTTTCACTCACTATACATGTTTCACTGGTGTTCTTTATAGTGAAGCACACACATTTATTACAGTGTACAAACTATATAAATTGCTCATAACATGGATTTTTGACTTATTAGCAATGTCTTATATATATTGTCTATGAGGGCTGTCAAAAGTATAGGACAAATTTATTTGTGTTTATAGCTGTATCATGTTTCTTTATCCACTGACCTTTCTAAAAGCAGCGATAGCCTGTGTACACACCTCATGGTGATTCACTATGGAACTGTACTTCTGTCTCTCTTTCTGGCTCTGTTTTTGTTTCTTTGGTTTTTTTTTCCTTGCTTTAGCTGCTTGAATGCATGTCATTTGGAGAATTGGTCAGGCAGTAAATAAGTATAGGAGTTAGTACGTTTTTAGAAGGGATCAGCATTGGTACAATCAATGATATTTATGCCAACATATTTTTACATCATATGTAAAAAGAAAACAACATTTTCTTCAAAGTCACATTTAAGGTTTGGTATTCAAGCTGCATTCAAGTAGCTAAAGCTTTTTAACTTTTATATATTTTGGTATTTGTTTTGTTTTTACTGCTGTGCACATCAGGGGCCATTGGGCTGGAATCAAATTCCTTATATTTTTGATAATACTTGGCATTAAAGTAAAGTATTGGTCTTAAATTAAACCTAAATAAAAAAAACAACAACATAACAATGAAGTTGTCAGTAGCCTATATTAGGGGTACATCATTGTTAGAGGTTACCAGGATTGCAACAACACAAATGTGAAAGTAGTCTATCATTACAAAAGAAAGCATTTAGCTGGCACTTTTGTATTAATTTCATTTTATAGCAAATTATGTCAGTACCATGGAAGTTATTTATCAGCAAGACTAGTGGAGCTAGATACACAGTGTTGGTAGCAGAGCAGGCCGTGGCATTCACCCAGGTCAAGGTGTCGACTGTTTGCTTTTTCCTCAGGGTGAAGGAAAGCTTCAAGGACCACTCAAAGGTCAAAGAGCAGTGTGGAAAAGTTTCTTATATAACCGTTGACAATATGTACAAATAGCATGGCTAGATAAGCACAGATGATGGCTGGATCATTGAACAGGCCATGGCATTCGATATGAACTTTCATTCTAAAGCCAGTGGGGCCAGTCAGTGTAGTCTAACCAGAGAAGACACAACAGATGCACTCAGTTGACAGTTTATTACCCCTAGCTAAAATGAATGCAGTCTAATCCAACAGTCCTACAGCAAATCTTCCTCCATGAAGGTGATGATGCTCAGTTTTTGTTGAAGCTGTTTTAAAGAGGCGTTGATTCAGCTGTATGAAGATCTATGTTGAACAGTGCTGCCTTATACAGAGGGCTGTTTTTGTTATATCACCTAGTGTCACTGATATAAATGGGGCAGACAGGATAATAAAAGCACGTGTTAATAACGCAGTACAAATCAACAGCAACGCAAAATACATTTTCAAAAATATGTGAGCAATTTAATCAAAACATCTTCAAAACAGTGAAAGAATCAACACAGTATCACCTTCATGTGAATGGATTTGCTGCAAGACTGTTGGATTAAATGTGAAAAATCCAACATGGTTTTTTTTCTAAGGTTTCTAATCTAATTTTTTTTTATGTAGGAGCTCAAATCTGGTTGTTTCCCTGCAGACTGGAAGGGAAGTCATTTCAGGCCCCACACTCCCAATAAAATAGCCATTCCAATTTAATATTAAACACCTGATCCTTTGAAATGGAGGCCCTGACATACAGTTTTATCCTTGAGGAGTTCATGCCCCATTATTTGAATTATAAACCTTCAGTAGTATGGAATTGAAGGACTGGGCTTTCATCAACTGACTGAATATTTCAGTGACCACAGAATGACCATGTTAGAGAGACGTGCTATGATAAGGTATAAAATTAGTGGTGCAGATAGAACAGATTGATTTTAGAGCAGATAGACTGAGCAACTGAGAGGCCATGTGATTTACTGGAGAGAGGGAGGCATAACGTGCTTCTTGGAAAAAAAAGGTTTATAGATGAAAATGGAAATTACAGACTGGCTCTGTTGTCCTGACTGTAGTGAAAAAGTCATTCCACCACTGTGAAGTCAAAAAGGGAGAAGAGCCAAGAGCAGGTGGAACAATGACTACATCAGACAGGGGAGGCAGAGCCAAATTGTTCACTGTGGCATGTTTTGTTGGATGTTCAGACTGTAGTGCTTTTATACTCCACTTCAGGAAGATTTCAGGAAAAGGCTCTTTTGCCTGGAGTATTCTGTTTGTGTTTGTAACTTGTTCACAGGTTTGTGAATCGTTACATGTTGACTAATGTTACTCTGGCACTCCTGTGCAAGAGTCCAGCACAGCCTCTGCACTAAAGTCTTAAGATTAGCCTGCCTGTGGATAAACAGAGCAGGTTTCTAATAAAGGTTTTAGCCTGACACGGAGGAATTCATCCAGCTTTTTTCTTCCTAAAGTCTTCCCCATAGCACCTTTACTGTCCTCACCCTGCCTAAACATACTAGTCAAACCACTTTAGTTAAAAACAACTTCTTACTTATTGTAACAGTCGTTGTGGTTGCTGGGAAGTATTTTTAGCTGCAGATCTACCTTTGTTGCTATGGAAATGTTAATTTCAGAGAGCCTTTATCCATGGACCTGCCTTAATCACACACAAACTCTACTTTTGCAACACTGAGGAGAGGCTACAGACAGTTTAAAGGAACCCATATGCAAATTATAATGAAAGCAAAGAGACCTTTAACTACACATTAGGTACTTTATTTAACAGGTGGAAGGAAATAGCAAAAGAAAAAATACACATATATGTATTATGTGTATGTATTATGCTCCCTTGACCTAAAGAATAAGGGGGTGGAAGAAATTAAATTAAATGGGGATCTGAACTCTAAATGGCATCTGATGGAGTTTCATTGTCACGAGCATTGGTGGTGTTGGGTTTAGTGACCCTTCTCTAGGTGCAGCAGGCCCTGAAGCCTCATCTTTCAGGCCTTCCCTGCAGAAGCTGGAGCCTTGTCCCCCTGGGCTGGCAAGCTACTGTATCCTACTGAAGCCGGAGCTGACTAACACCTTTACTAGCTGTAATGCATTAATGAAAACTGATGATATTTGATGTCTTTAATCCAGAATACATAGTCATGGGAGCACGAGCATATTTCCTGAGAACCCAGAGAAGCTATTTTTATATTTTTCTTCCTCTGTCTTCCTTTTTGTCTCCACATCTCCAGCTGCATACTGCAGCATTAATGATCCTCTGATGAATGGGGGCGTGGTCAACCGAACCAAACTCCGTCCAGGTAGCAGACTTCAGTTCTTTTGTAATCGTGGTTACCGCCTGGTAGGATCAAGCAACGCCACCTGCAGGTTCCACACCAATGGGCTTTTCCAGTGGGATACACCACCGCCTTTTTGTCAAGGTAAAATTTTATTAGTGATGAATAAAAGTTGACCATGAAAAGGTATGGTTTGAGAGGAATTCCCTTGACAACACTTCTCTCTTGGTGATGTGGCAGCTATCTCGTGTGGAATCCCTCATTCGCCAGGCAACGGCAGTTTCCATGCTTACCGGTACACTGTTGGTAGCCAGGTCACCTACCATTGTAACCATGGTTACCACCTTGATCCTGGTGTTCCCATGACAGCAGTGTGTTTGGAGGATGGCACCTGGAGTAATGCTGCCTCACCTCCCAGATGTCTACGTAAGTATTTTTTAAACTATAATGTAAGAACAGTCTTGTGATGGTGTTTCGGTGCCAGTCTAAAAAATGTCAAATATAAAATTTAAATAAAATTCTGAGGGGAGCATGGGGTGGCACAGTGGTTAGTGCTATCGCCTCAGCAAGAAGATCTTGGGTTTGAGCTAGAGTTGTTTTTGGTGGCCTGTTTTAATTTTAGTTTTAGTCTAGTCTTTGTGTGAAGCTGTCATTTTAGTTTTTATTACTTTTAGTCACATTCATACTCTTTTTAGTCTAGTCTAGTTTTAGTCAATGAAAACTGATGACATTTAGTCTAGTTTTAGTCAATGAAAATTGTATTTTAGTCTCTTTTTAGTAATGCAATTCTATTTAACCCAGTCAATATAGTATAAGTACCTAGTAGTATTAGAGGAAACATCCCATCAAGAATACATCCCATACACATTTTGTGGCCACATTTCTCCCCATCTTTTCCCACAACACGCTCCGTATTCTTTTCCACTTCTATGTAATTAAAGTTTTTCCAAATGTCGTTTCTTCTTTTTCTCCCAAAGACGAACCCCGGCTGGTCGGCCATTGGTCCCTTTCTCTGTGTCAGACTTAACTTTGTTTGTTGTCGTCTTCTAAATAATGCCGCGAGTGGGGCTTAAGGAAGTGATGTTGCCTGCGTCTGCACAGTGCGACCTGTTGCGGCCCCTGAAGTGAGACACAGGAAACAGAAATACTGCAAAATAATAATAATAACGCGACTGAACGAGATGAAATAACATAACATTTCATTTTGTTTTGGTCAAGGAAAATAAAGAGGCATAGTTTTTATTTTGTGAACCACATTTAGTCTCGTTTTATTTCATCAACGATATTGCATATACATTTAATTGTAGTCATCGTCACACGACCAGCATTTTCGTTGCGTCTCGTCTCATTTTCGTCACGCGATAAAGGTTCGTTGACGACGATATTTAGTCATAATCTTTGTTGATGAAAGCAACTATAGTTTGAGCCCCATCCGACCTGGTGCCCTTCTGTGTGGAATCTACATGTTCTCCCTGTGCCCGCGTGGGTTCTCTCCGTGTACTCCGGCTTCCTCCCACAGTCCAAAGACGTGCAGCTTCAGTTGACTGGTGACTCTAAATTGCTTGCAGGAGTGAGTGTGAGTGTGTGTGGTTGTTTGTCTCTGAGTGTCAGCCCTGTAATAAACTGGCGACCTGTCCAGGTCTCGCCCAATGTCAGCTGGGATCGCTTCCAGGCTCCCTGCAACCCTCTCCAGGATAAGCGGTATAGATAATAAATGGATAAAATTCTGGGATTAAAGTGAGAATTTTCTGAGAATAAAGTCAGAATATTCCCAGATCAGGGTATTATGTTGGGTTACTGAAAAAAAACCATGCTCAGACAATAAGAGCAAGAACTCTTAACTCATGTTTAATAATGTTTGTAGGACCTGAAAGTCAATTAATTAAAACCCAACAGAATTTGAGGAGGTGTGCTCCAGCCGGTTGATCCTACACCTAATCCTCACACAATAATTACACAATGGCACAAAACATAACACATGGCAGCAGCTTGTGAACCATGCTAAATGAAAGAATACCCTGCAGATGTCATGTACTATCATGTTACAGGAATTATTGACAACCAGTGGCCTAACGTCAGTGTGTGCACTGCTGCCTCTCACTGCAAGCTGTGGGCTGATGTGTGATACTGTGATTGACATTACAAAGAAACTAAAACTGTTATCATTATCTTCTTTGGAGAGGCTGACATTATTTTCAGAATACCCAGACTTTATTCTTGAAATATTTTGAATTTAATCTCAGAATTTTATTAATTAGTGTGAATTCTGTCCAGCAGCATTCTTTAATGTGACACTAAAATGCCATTGTACAGTTGAGCATGAAAAAATTAAAAATATATCTTAAATCAAAGTCTAGTTACTACCTACTTTCATAGCTTTTTACCGAATATCAGTCTTTTACTGTCAGTGGGGTAACATTTGGTCACATATTGTCATTTTGCTGTGACAACTAAACTCACTGGTGAAGACCAGGAGCTGCAGTTAAAAGCTCTGGAAAAAGCCAGTAAGTGGATTGTGTCTGTCCCCATATTCAAGAGTAAAAGGTTACACTCAGAGAAGATGACTCATAAAAATTTTATATGCTCAATATCTATTTAATGTCAAACAGTTTCATTGTTACTGTCAGTGTGTGTTACAGTAGTCTGGACAGTATATTTAAAACATATTTTGTCCACAAATCACTGTTCATTTGCACTCTAGAGATTTGCAAGATGGGCATTATTTATTAGTTAATTTATTAACCAATGAATAAATTCATGGTGTGTGAAATTCCTTTAATAAAGCAGACTTTAGACATTTGCAATAATTTTATAATTTAATGTCTGTAATTGCACAGTGTATTCCTACATGGAAATGAAAATAAAAAAATACAGTAAAAGTTGCTGTTCAGTACAAAGAAGTAGACTTGTGAAGCATTCCATAAGATAAAAAAGTAGCAACAGCAACAAAAAAGAGTATTATTTTCAGACCTGTCGCTTTATATAGAGCCAAATAAATTCTGGATTAGATCCTTACAGGGTGGAATTTTACTTTGGTCTTCAAAGGTTTGCTTTCAGGTGACATCAGCAAAATGATTTTAGATGTTTAAACTCCATAATTTATAAATTATACGTTATAGAGGCTCTTGTGTTATTTAATGCTGTAGGCATGTATGTAAACTGAAACCATATGGCATTAAATAGCTAATGTTTAAGGACACAAGTGAAGCTTGAAAACCTTGAACATTTTATTTATGTCTAATTTGATTACATTTTATCTTCCAGCTGTGCACTGCCCCAGCATCGAGGGCACTTTGTCAGATCACATGACCTACCACCTGCTCTCTGGTAGGCTGGAAGAGTTTGGTTCTCTGGTGATGCTGGAATGCGCTACAGGGTACTATTTGGGTGTGGGGCATCGGACTCTTCGCTGCCTAGCCAACGGGACCTGGGAGGGGTCTGATGATCCAGCTACATGCAAGAGTAGGAGTTAATACACAAATGAACACTATGATCACAAACATTGTTGTCACCTGTATTTTTCTCAGAATTGTATTACCCCTTCAGAACAAGGTAATAACCCCCCCCCCCCGCACCCACGGAGACCATCCAATTTTTTTTCTATACATGTGGAGCCATAGCTAGGATTTTCTTATAAGAAAGAGTTGATACACATGCCCTCATACAGTATTCACATACAAATGCTGCATAGTCCTTCATATTCTATAGTGAACAGACATTTTTAATTTCTCATGTCATGAGTTTTCATAGCAGGGGACAGGAAACATCTAAACCAAGGAATAAAAAAGAACCCTCATACACTCACTCAAACACACACACACACACACACACACACACACAGCAAGAAGAAGATAGCATTGCAACTGCTGCCACAATTTGTCATGAATGAGTTGGGAGTCAAAACACTGTACCTACCACAGTATAAGCAATGTAGAAAGTTATTATTCTGATAGAGGTAATGTCTTCTCTTCCAAGAAAACATGTGTTTTGCACTTACTTTGAGTGGAACCATGGCTGTGTTTCATACTGGCAGCCTAGTAGGGTTGATTGAAGGAAATGGTTGCTTTGAGAAGGAACTACTTTCTATGGGAGTGTGCGCATCCCCTCTGCTTACTACTTTTTTTTTAAATTAGTTATTTGGGATATATTTCCAAATGCCTTAGAATCTAGCCACTGCATGTTGTCTTGAGACACTTTTAACTGCAGCTTGTGCTTCCTAAATGTGGGGTACACTACATGTTGGCAATTGTAGTAGTCCAGTTGAAGTTTTTCAATTAGTTTTACTCTGCAACGTGCCTTTACTGCTTATTTCTTAAGAGGAAGTTGCAAGAAAACATTGGAACTTTGAAAACTTCACAACACGCTACAGAATTTCATAGTGTTGCATAATATTTGACATAACAGTGAAATATGCACTCAAGAGAATAAAAAATGAAATCAATCTTGCATTAGACGAGTGGTTGAAAACAGTTTAGAAAATCTGGGATAACAACAGAAGCACTTTAGATTGTCATGGAGGGGGGATAGTATGTTACGGGAGCATATAAACACCACATCCTGTACCGTTTTCATTTGATTTATAATACATTGTATAAAATCTTAGTTAGTGCACATTTAAATTCAGGCCTTGCATTGTTTTATGCTCCTGGTTTCGAGGCCAGCACCTTGCATGGCGGCTCCGCCACCATCACTGTGTGAATGGATGGCAACAACTGTAAAGCATTTTGTCCAGTAAGGTAGAAAAGTCCACTATCTTTTTTGTAATGGCATGATCTTATTATGATATGATGGCATGACATGATCTTACTTATTTATTATTTAGTAATTTCTTGTGGTGAGCTGCCTTCTCCACCTTTTGGGACCAAAATGGGGACACTGACCACCTTTGGAGCAACTGCAATCTTTATGTGCAACCACGGTTACACATTGGTGGGGTCACATGTCAGAGAGTGCAGCGCTAACGGCCTGTGGAGCGGTACAGAGACGAGGTGTCTAGGTAAGGCCCATTAAATGTGATAAGATGTACACTGTGTTGTAGCCTGTCTTTGGAATGAAACACTGAACAATCTGCTCAATAATGAAATTAAATCCAACAGGCTGAATGGTGTGAGTCATTAATAACAGAAGAGATAGCACAATGAAATGTTGTAAGCTCTTAAAGAGCAAAATCAAAGGCTTGGATTCATCTTGCATGATAGATCTATTGTATCATTTTTCTACAATTGTAAAGGTTTTGTTTAAAATTCAGCCTGCTAATGCCAGACTAGCCGTATGTCAATCCTACATAATATAATGCCCAAATGCCAATTCAAAGCCAGTATATTTAGAATTTAAAAAGGCATATAATGTGATAATATGCTGGGGAAAAAGGTATTTCACTGCTGTAAGCAGTGGTATTTCTATATGCGCAACTGGTATAGAGAGACCTAACCTGTATCAAGAGTCTTATATAAAGACTTTATTATTAATGGAAATGCATGAAGGCATACATTTTATACATAAGCTTTATAGGGTTGCTACAGGTGTCTAGGTAAAGTCCATGGAAGTAAAGTAAGATAAACTGCGTACATGCCTCAGTAACTCAAATTATATTCTACGGAGACATTTTATTACTTAATACATTAAGGGCTTGATTTAGACCTTCAGTAAGCACTGAACAGAGATGATTAATCCTGATTTTACAAGCACACTCTACTCTAGTAATTCAGCCTCGGAGTTACATGCATGAATAAGAAGCCTCATGCAGGATACACGTTTTATGTGATGAATGTCTAAATCAAAGGCATGTACACCTTCACATTATTAGCCTGAGATTCTGATAACCTAAATGTTGATGTAAGAAGAGTTTAGGTTTAAAGTCACTAAATTACAATTTAAACACTGCAAATGTGGTTTTTATGTGGAAGTTAGCTGCATTTCATTTGTCAACACAGACTGTAAACCGCCAGTCAAAAGTGTGAGCACACTTTCCCATCCAATTCAATGGGAAATTGGGTCCAAACCTTTGACCGGTAGGGTGTATGTGCTGGGGTATGGTTAGGGTTGACAAATCATGCATCTGAGTATTATGATTATCATTCAAACTAAAACAACCAGCCTAGATACTTTCCTTGTAAATTAGTTATATGAAGTCCTTTCTCATGAGTCATTGTATTGCACCCTTTTAAGCTAATTTTAAAAATGTTGATCTTATGAAGCCTGTGTCCATAATATGATATTATGGACATTTATTTAAAATTTATTGAAGAAATCTAGCCAGAGGGGTTTCAAGCCAGTGACTTCTGTGCTGGTCTCAAGCCCAGGTAAATAGAGAGGGTTCTGTCAGGAAGGGTATCTGATGTAAAACTTGGCAAATATAAACATTTAAACCAGCGCTGTTGACCTACAGGGTGTTGGCGGAAATTGGACTACCGTTGGTCAAAGAAGTCGAAGAAGGAGAGGAGGCAGAAGGGTTCGTAGACAGAGAGAGAAGAGGAAAGGCAGGAGTATAGGTCTGAGAATAGGAACTCTTAACATTGGCACAATGACAGGGAAAGGTAGAGAGTTGGCGGACATGATGGAGAGAAGGAAGGTAGATATACTGTGTGTGCAGGAGACCAGGTGGAAGAGTAGCAAAGCGCGTATCATTGGAGGGGGATACAAATTATTTTATTATGGTGTGGATAGGAAGAGAAATGGGGTAGGAGTGATCCTGAAGGAGGAGCTCGTGAGGAATGTTTTAGAGGTGAAAAGAGTGTCAGACAGGGTGATCAGTTTGAAGTTGGAAATTGAAGGGGTAATGTTGAATGTAGTCAGTGGTTATGCTCCACAAGTAGGGTGTGAGTTAGAAGAGAAGGAGAGATTCTGGAGTGAGTTAGATGAGGT